TTAGTGATAATGTTCAACTTTGATGTCCAGATGGCACCAAAGTGAGCTCCTTCCAGACAACCTCGCAAGGACATTTTCAGAAGTTATAAACACACAGCAGGATTTTCGTCTCTTCAGACATTTTTATCATCTTTCTGCCCTCGTGTCATTGACCCTTCCTTATCTATCCAGGGTATCTTCCTTTTTTGACCAGCGTTTGTGAAATGAGGGTTTGAAGTTTCAGGTCTAGAGATTAATTTTACTTGCTAAGGAATGAGCAGTTCCTTCCAAAGGAATTTGAGATTCAAAACAAACAAAATAGAACATGGATGGAGAAAATGTGTGTGTGGGGGAGGGGCTTCTGTGGCTTACAGAGTTTTTATTTGTGCCCTAGTTTTGTTTGGATTTGAAAGTGGTGCTCCATGGAGGAAAAGTCTGGCTGTAGAGTAGCGTTGGCTGGAGTTCCCTCTGTTTTTGAGACTGTGGACCACCTCTACGTCAGGTTTGGGAACAGCACTGGACAGCACATTGTTATGCAGTTGGTGTAATCACTACTGCTCCATCTCTGACCAGAAGTAGTTAGGTAGGGTTTAATCCTGTTCTCTGGCCTAGTTAACACAGAGCACCATCAGAAAATGCTGGGTACTTTCTGGACTTCCAGCTTAATTCAGTTCTCCTTTTTAACTGTTCATTTCATGTCTACATTAGTACATGGAGTTTTTAACGATTGTATTTTGAAGGTCAAGAGCAGGCAAATTATTTCCATATAAGTACCAGTATATTAGCTTGACAGCTAAAGAACTTGCAAGCCCTCATAGTCTTCCTCACTTGCCACCTGCTGGTTTCTTGGCCTTTGACTTAAGGGACTCCGTCAAAGGTATATGGGGGTGAAGCACATTTGACCCCCTAGTATCGATCACATGACTTTAGATAAAGCAAAATAATAAACAAACAAAAACCAAAACCCTCTACTGTCTCCTCCTGGTCATGTTTATTATAAACTGGTTTTGATTTCAAAGAAGTAGTTTGGGAAATGGCACTACTGTCTTAAGTTATTATTGGCAGCCTCCAGCCAACCGAGCATGCCTATGGCTGCAGAAGAGTGGTTTCCCTAGTTTAATAGAACAGGAGATGATACAGGATATTCAAAAAATACACACAATACCTGAGTATCTATCCTATTTTGATCTTTTAATTTCGCAGTTAGATGGCCAGGAGAATATTTAGAGGTTGTAGGAAAGCATGCATAAGAATAACATTTGCATATACGTGGATTTCTGATCTAGAAGAAGAACTGAGTCTATTTTACCTTTTCCATTCTGGTTTGTTATTGGTGTTGCAAATGCCATTGTACCTACATCAACAAAAACATTTTTTTTCGCCATAGTGTTTCTCACTTGTGTTATATTTGCCTATTATTCTTATAGTTTTCCTTTTTAATATTAACATTTCTTTAAATTGCAAAGATAAATGGAAAGCCCATTCAAATAGCATTGCAGAGAGCCATTATCTGTTGAGTCCTGTTTGCTGCTATCCAAAGTTAAGTTTTGCAGTGAGATGCGAGGTTGCTGTGGCATTGCTGGAGGAAATTGTTTGATGTGTGTCTGTTTACAAGACACTGAGAGCTGAAGGCAGTCTAGACAGTTGTATCACTTTAAGGGTCTACAGCATTAAGATGTTTTAAATTTCCAGTAACGCTTAATGACATAAAATAGCAGTGGTTCATAAAGTGAAGAAATGCCGTAAATCCCTGCAAGTAACTTTGTGAAGCAGGAAGCTGGATCTGGGCTTGGAATTCAATATGAAGTCGACTTTTTAAATTAAACTTTTAATTCTAGGGTGCTGTGCATGCAGCTGTGGAAGTGATACAGGCAGGTATGAGCATGCAGTTTTCTCTGATGGTAGCATCTTGGAGAACTCTAGGATGGTGAGACAGCCGGGAATGACACTGAGACCACCGAGGCGAGGAGAAGAACCGGTCCATCATGGGCAACAGGAGTCCTTTGGGGTGGCCATGTCCACCCCACTGCATGGGCTCCCAGCCACCCGGCCCCTCTCCACTTTGACACTTTCGTCATTGTGAGAGCGTTGTACTAATTGTCATAACATATCAACCTTTTTGGGTTTAGCTTTTTAATTTAGCACAATTTTTTGGGGACTCTCAATAGTTTGTTCTGTTTTCCTGAAGCAGTGTTTATGGTATGGCTGTGCCATAGTTTATTTAACCCTTAGTCTCTTGAAAGATGTCTGGGTCATTTCTACTTTTCACAATTACAAATAAAACTGCTATATTCCACTTACAGGTTTTTGTGTGCAAGAAAGTCAGCTTTTCTCTGAGACAGATGCTCAGGAGAGCAGTGGCTGAGTCTTTAATTACTTAATTTAGGTGGTACTGAGTTTGAGCTGAGGCTGCTGCACTGTTAGGCAGAGGTGGCACTTTATGACTTGAGTCACACCCTCAGGTGGAGGCTTGTGTTTCTGCCCAGTAGCTGGCCTTGCACTGCAGTCCTTCTACCTAACCTTCTATGTAACTAGGATTATAGATGTGCATCACCATGCCTGGCTTTTTGGTTGAGATGGGGGTCTCACTAACTTTTTGCCCAGGCTGGCCTTGATCTATGATCTTCTTGATCTCCACCTCCCTAACAGTTGGGATTACAATACTTGGGATTGTAGGAGGGTAGTTGGGATTACAGTAGGGGGACTGTGATCACACGTCCTTGGTAGTTGGGATTACAGTGTGAGCCACTGTGCCCAGTTAGCCACTGGTTTTTTTGAGTCAGAGTCTCACTATGTTACCCAGGCTACCTTCTAATTCTCATTCCTCCAGCTTCCACTTCCCACATTCTGGGATTACAAGTGTGTGCTATCATGCTTGGATCTTTTTATTTTTTGTGTGTGGATTGACTCTTTTTAAATCATAATACAATGCTTCTCTTATCTTTGGTAGTTTTCTTTGCTCTGAAGTCTACAGTTATCACTATAACTGTTTCTGCTTTCTCTTGATTACTGCTTCTATGCTGTGTATTTTTCCTTCTTCTCACTTTCAGTCCACCTGTATCACTGTATTTGGTGTGAGTTTTGTGTAGTCAGCTTACAGTTGGGTCATTTTTAAAAAAATTCCACTTTGCCCATCTGTCTTTTAATTGCTGCATTTATTCATGGATTTGATCTTTAGTCTTCCATGTTATTTTCTCCTTCTCAGTTTCTCATTTGTTTTCTTTTTGCTGCTTTCCTCTGGGTTAATGAACATTTTTACAGTTCGATTTTGTTTTTTTCCATGATGTTTCTGAGTGTGTATTTTAGTAGTTGCTCTAAACTGTACACACATGTGACTTATCACTGTCTGCAGGTGTCATCTATACTTCAAGTGAAGTAAGAACATTTACCTTTTCATGTCTTTATCTGTCCTCATTTTCATGTAATTGTTTTAAATATATTAGCTAAATATATTTAGTCAAGTCATAATTTTGGTATAATTTTGTGGCTTTTACTTCAACCTTCACATATAACTTAGAGTAGTTAATAGGAAAAGGAATGTCTGTTGATTTTACCTGTATTTTTGTCTGATATTATAAACTTTCTTCCTCCTTCCTTTCCTTACTCTTTTTAATATTTACTGAGTCATTTTTCTTAGGGTAGTGTGTTGGTAACAGTTTCCTGACTTTGTAGGTAAGAATTTGCTGGGCATCTGCAGTTTCACACAATTCAGCACAGTAGTGAATGATCAGTTAAAGGTGAAAGGAAAAGAAAGGCTAAGGGTTCAAGGAAAAGGAAGGCTGTGGATGTGACCTGCTGCAGGGCTGACGGCACTTCAGATGGAAGATTCATTGTGTGTCAGTCAGTGGTGATGAGAGCCATGTGTTGTTCCACATCCCCACAGCAGGAATGAGTGCTCCACACACGCAACAACATGGGAGACTCTCACGTGCATTATGCTGAAAGAAAAAAACAGAAAAACAGAAAAATGAGTATATCGTATCGGATATGATTCCATTTAAATAAACCCTAGAAAATGCAAAGTAGTAACAGATAGTAAACTGCCCTCTGGAATTACAAGGGGACCTGAGGAAACACTGGGGGACATGAGCTCTCTTGTCGGGAGAATTTTGCAAGCATGTACACATTCCAAACGTATCTAGTTGTATACTTTGCACTTTGTTGCGTATCAGTTACAATTGGGTGGAGCTGTCTAAAGACACCTTGTCACCAAGTGTCCCTGACAGTCCACATGCCTCTCCAGCTTTATCCATAGTTGCGCTTACAAGATGAGGCCAGTGATTGTGTGCTTGGTTGTTCTGAAAGTTCTGAAAGGCTTACTTTCAGTTTTTAAGCTAGTATCTTCCAATGGTAAGAAATAGTCTTGTCTGTGCTCACACTTTCAGTCACAAAGTTTTAAAGTGATGCTTCCATACTACTTTGTATATGTTTTTTTCTTCTTCTCAGTATGGGCTCATTTTGTATTGTTTTGAAGCCAGTCTGTCTTACTTTGTGCTTTGATTAACCTGTGTTCTGCCATGTGAATTCAGTATGTAGTGATTTTCTCCCATTGAAGCCTAGGAAATAAGCTGTGGGATTTCACAGGAGGTTGTACTAGAACTTTGGTATGACATTCCCTTTTGAAGGAGTAAATGTAAAACTTTGCTGCACTGTAAGAATGTTCTGAACTTGGTATTCTGGGACCTGCCAGGGATGCGGCATGGAAAAATCTGTTCACATCGCACTGTCCAAACCTCTCTCACTGTTTACTTCTTTAAAGATGGGTTATCACTCATCTCGGGGTCAGTGAGGCAGTGATAATGCTCAGAGTCACCTGAAAAGTTTATTTCACTGGATATATTTTTACTTTCTTCTGAGACAGTTGTTATTTTTTTTCTTCTGGGATAAATTCCATACCTGAAAATAATTTGAAAACTAATTCTTACAAATGGAAAGTGGATTTTGTATTCTGGCTTGCTTTTAATATATAGGGTAGAAACCTGAGAGACACAGCTGAAATAATGCACTCTTTCCTCTTTCAGGCGATTGCTCTCCTAACTGAATTGATTAGGGAGAACTTCAGGAACAGCAAATTGAAGCAGTGCCTTCTGCCAACCCTTGGGGAGCTCATCTACCTTGTGGCCTCCCAGGTGAGACGGGTTCTGTTCGTGACTGCTTGACATGTTCTGACGTGGCCTGGGTGACACGTGGTAATGTCATGTCTCCTTTACAGCATGCCCAAGAAACTTAGGAAAAATCTTACCTCTGGGGAGGAGAGCTTCCTGGAATCCCTCTGCTCTCTCTCTTGCCCTGCCTGATTCTCTTCTTCCTTCTCTCCTCCCAGTACCTGTTTTCCTTTAAAGTGTAGGAAATTCTTAGGCTACATTTTAAGACTAATGACTTAAAAGCCCGCAAAGTACTCCCTAGGTTGTTGCCATCTTGAGTCCTCCAGGGAAGAAGAGACAGTTGGTTCTTCTAGTATAGAATCTTCATTTTGCTTTAAATAAAACATCACAAGTGCAAATACAGCTTTCCATGTAACTATGGGAGTTTGTGATGGTGGGATTAGACTTCTTATTTCTAAAGTTATAGTATTGAATCCAACAAGGGAAAAATGTAAAAACCATGACCAACTTAGGGGTTAGTCATGTTATGTGATACTGAGTTTTAAATGTACACTGGTAATTTTTAAGTTAATAAGAAAGCTGTTTCATTGTATTTCTTAAACTTTGGTTCTTGAACATGCTCAAGTGTTACATAATCTGAGTATTCTTAGTATCTAAATTAAACCAACCTTCTGCATAATAATCACTTTAGGGCACTCCCACAATTGTTATAAAACATCAGTATTTTAAATCACCAAGCTCTCTAATTAGTATTGATGGCCAGTACAAGCAAGTCTCTCCTATTTGTTTTCCTTTTCATTAGTGTCTTGGCTATTCCTGGTCCTTTACATGTCAGAGTGAAGTTTAGAATCAGCTTTTCCAGTTCTGTAAATCATCCTTACTTTTTAATTATTTTTGGCAGTACTGGGATTTGAACTGGCGTTATGCTTGCTAGGCAGGTGTTCTACACTTGAGCCACATCCCTGTCCCTTTTTACTTTATTTTTCAGGTGAGGCCCTTGTGTTTTTGCTCACGCTGGTTTGGCTGCAATTTTCCTGTCTACACTTTCCATGTATTTGGGATGACAGGTGTGTGCCACCTGTCTTGTCTGTTGAGAAGGGGGTTTTGCTAACTTTTTATCCTCAGCTGACTTCAAACTACAATCTTCCCGGTCTTTGACTCCCGAGTAGTTGGGATTACAGGTGTATGCCATCATGACTGGCCATTAAGTCATCTTCTTAAAAAATAGCATTGAGTATGCAGATAAATTTGAGAAGAACTGATAGTCTCTATGATTTTTGAGTCTTCCAGTACATGTTTGGAATTGCACTTATCTAAATTTCAGTTAGGAAAGCAGTGATATCTTTGATATTCAGCCCTCCAGTGCACAAAATAGTGCTTCCATGTTTTAATATTAAAAAAAAAAGTCTATTACCATCATTTCATTCAAGCCAGGTACTCTACCACTTGAGCCACACCCTCAAACCCCCATTATGCTTTTAAGAGCCAACACAGTCTCGAACCTGACAAACTAGGAAGTAAATATAGGTATACATGTGTATGTGTGTGCGTGTACAGATGTGTGTGCATGTGTCTGTATGTGTATACATATATATCACCAAAAAACCATGATAAGAACATGTCTGCCATCTCCATGTGTCCCAGCATCCTTTGCAATTACTGATTTGCTTCCTGTCACATAGTTTGTATTTCCTTGAACTTTTAATAAATAGAATCGTATTCCTACTTGTTTCTACAGAATCATTTTCCTTGGTATGGACTGTAACTGGATTTGGGCTGGACTGTGGTAACAGAGGGAAGATTCTGTGGCCATGAGATTGGACCATGTCTTATAATAGCAAACCAGAAAAGGAAGTTAATTCACTGAATCTGTAAAAATAACTTTTTGTGAGACAAGAGCTTTTGTGGAATTGTCTCATTAATATAGGTAAACCTATAAAATCTCAGTTTAGTGCTGACCTGGTGGGACTGACCTGAAGTGACAGTGTATGCAGTCTACAGTATACAGCCCTGAGCCCTGTCCTGTTGGCTCGCTGGCAATACCTGTGGCAGAAGACCAGACCGTGATTCTACAGAGGAATTCTTTTGTACTTTATTTTTTTTTATTGTAAATTTCAATTTATTTTAGCTGATACATAGTATTAAAATGTGCATTTTTATAGGGCATCATGTGGTATTGTGATGCATGAATACCTTGTATAATGTTCAAATCAGGTTAAACACAGCCGTCTCCTCAAACACTTATCATTCATTTATGGTGAAAGCATCCAGACTGCTTTTTTCTGATCTGTGGGGAATATCATGCGGCAACATTTCATACTTCATATATTTTGTTCTTTGCAAGGAAGCCTGGCACCATGAGTTGAGGTGTTACTGTCTTATCTTTTTTTTTGTCTAGCACATGATCTTCTCTTTTCTGAGCTGTTGTAAGAACTCCAACATGGTCTCCTTGCTGCAGTGTTGTGTGCATTAAAATCTGGCTGTTTTCCAGAGAGCAGAGTTAAAATCCTTGAGTTTCTGACAGTGTCATTCCACAGAGTTCTCCAGTGCTTCCTGTCTTACCCGTTGTCACAGTCCAAGTCCCCCTAGTTGTTCTCATGGTCATCATGTTTGTCTGACTTCATTCCTCACTACCCTGAAATGTGCCATCTCCCTCCATCTGCACTGACCTTCCTGCAGTGCCCTGTTTTACACTTGCTGTTCCTCCTACCTGTAAACCCCTTCCCCCAAAGTCTGCATTTTCTCTCTGCTCAAATAGATTCCTTCAGAGTGGGAAGGTAAGAGAATCCTGAGTTCCTAAATGAGAGTAAGTGAAAAGAAGTGGGCATTCAGGAAAGGGAAAGTCAGTGGGCCTGAGTGTAGTTGAAGGTATAAGAAAAAGGACTTAAGAAGAATGTCCTGGATGAAGTGATGTGAAAGTCATGGATGACTCATGGAGTTTTTTTATGTTTGAATTAATTTTTCCTGGAGTGAGGGAGACAGAAGTCCAGTTGACACAGGGTGAGGTTTTGAGTGGGAGGTGAGGAAGTGGTTAAGGTCAGCGTAAAGCCAGGATGGTTGTGTGAATGGCTGAGGTGGGCGAGCACCTGCTTTCTGAATGGGAAATGGTGAACCTGCTCAAGTGGAGTTGGAAAGGGTTCAGTGGAGATTAAACCTTGCAGATCTAGGAGCAGTAGAGGAACACAGAATGAGTTTGGGGCCTTGAGCCCAAGTGGAAGGAGGGGAGCAGCTCATCCTGGAGGGATCACTGGGAAGCAGTGGTGGTTGCAGTATCAGTAGGGAAGGTGACTGTTTCTGTCCCATGAAGTCTTTGTGAAGAGGAAAGTGGGTGAGGTGGTGAGAGTGTTCCAGGTTACAAACAGTCCTTTTAGAGGGAGTTGGTCAGAGGAACAGTGGGTGGGCCTGGAGAGTGGTGAAGGCCCTCTGTGGTGCTGATTGTGGTCAGTGATGGACTTTCTGTGATCTTTTGAAACTGGAGTTTTAGGCCCCAGGCCCAACTCCAGGAATTCTACATATCAGGTCCATCCATTCACCCCAACACACCAACAAATCCCATCTTTGGGATACAGACATGAGCTTTAGGTTTAAATAGAAAAAGAATTTTGGATGGTGTTGGTGTTACATGCCAGTGATGAAGTGTTGCAGGCTGGGGTCAAGGGTCCTTGCCTTCACAGGCCAGAGAACTGGCTCGTGAGGCAGCTGAATGATAGCCAAAGCCGGTATATAAAGTAGGATTTATTAGAGAGAAAGGAAAGGCTACAGTTAGAGAAGTGTAGCGGAGCCTGGAAGCCAGTAACTCACTGCACAGGTGAAGGCTGGGGCTTTTTATGGACGCTTTAACTCAGGGTTAGGGTATCATTTCGGTGGGTTTTTTCTATTGGCCATGTATTTGCACATGGGCTCTCTTAGAGGAGCTGGTCTGTTTGCCCCTTATTGGGGGGCGGGACTGGGAACAACTTTGAGAGCATATTGTTTATCAGCCCCGTGGTAGATTTGTGAGACCCTGTATCTCCTCCTCAGGGTGCAGGAATGCAGATTTATAACTCCTTCTCAGGGTGCAGGGCTCATGGTGCTTTCCATGGGGAATGGGCTACTTACTCATTTGCCTGAGGTATCCAGACCCAACAGTGGGGTGTGTGTGAAAAGTATATATAATAATTAAACAGTCCTGGTCAAAGTATGGCCTGTTGACTATTATCTGAGTCCTGGTTTGGGAGGGGTTGTGGATAAGTCGTTGTTGCTGTCATCACTTGAGGGGAGCAATCTGGTCAGAATAAACAAGTCATTGTTTCCTGGTGGGTTGTCTGTCCTTAAGAAGCCATGTTGTTCTTTTTCTTGGGTGCAATTTACTCTGGTTGTCCTTGTAAAAATGTTATTGATCAGTCCTGTCCTGTCCAAGGTGGCTGCAAGGTGAATGACTCAGAAAAGACAGACACAGGAATGGAGACAGAGATGCCAAGCTTTTCTCTTGTTTTTAGTTAATCCATGGGCCTAAGTAAGGAGTCAGTGTTTCTCAGCAAAAGCAGTTTCTGAGTACCTATTACACTTTCTCTAAGAGCCCAGTTTGCCTGAGTGCAGGCCTAGAAAAAACGAGTAACTTGGCTGCCTCCAAGGTTGGGATTTCCCAACAAGGGAAAAGGGGTAGCCCAGGAGAAAGGCATTTTGGGTTTTTGGCAGGAGTGATTATAAATAATAGGTAGGGAATCTAAGTGGCTGAGGGAGGAAAGGAGAAAGGAAGGAGGGCAGGGGGCAGAGGGTGGGTCACAGTGGATGTTCTGAGTAAGCTGGAAGGGAAGACGACAGTAGTGTTAGGAAATCAGGTTTGCTTCTGAATTAGTGATTTTTGAGTTGGAGCAGGTCCTGATCATAATGTCCACTTTGTGATCATAGGTGGAATTCTATAATCCTGCAAGAGTAAGGTTCAGTAGATCAAAATTCTCAATATGGGCCTTAAGTACTTTGGGCCAGTTCTATCATTTAGACAATCTTAAATATTTTCTTTAAGTGGAACCCAGTTGCTTCTTCTTTAAAAAGATTACTTTTCACCCTTCTGTGCAGTACCTGATTTATCAATTTTTGATTTTATTTCATAGGCTGCAGGAGTGCTCTTATGGTTATTGAACTAATTTGGTTAATTTATTGGAGAATTATTGCAGATGTCCTTAAAGTCAGTGTGCCTGCTCACCACCTGTCCTTATTTTTATTTAGCACGTTGTCTCACTAGGTTATATACTATCTTATACTTGTGTTCACAGCTTATTCTGAGATATTACTCAAGTTCGTATGTTCTGTGATTTCAAATAATTCTAGATAGTGTAGCACTTTTCAGGTGGAGATTCTATGACTGTTAACAGAATGATTTCTCAATCAGGCAATATTATCATTTCTCTATTCTGTATGTGTAGCTTCTGATATGAGGAGTCTTATCACTATCAGATATAATACAAAGAGAACTAGAAAAAAGTGCCTTGTATGTACACTGTAATAAAAGACCCTGGATCTGGTCATAGTTGTCTGGTAATAAGTAGTAATTTAAATAGAATGTTAAAAGTTTTAGATGTATGTTTGGAACTGTGGTTTTTTTGTTGAATGGGTTAATGTCTTTTGTGGTGTTAGCCTCATTGTCTTTTCTTCCACTTCATTTTAGGAAGAGAAAAAAAAGAACCCTAGAGAATGCTGGGCTGTTCCCTTGGCTGCATACACAGTGCTAATGAGGTGCCTTCGGGAAGGGGTAAGGCTACTTTGTTGTGCTCTGTACACACCTGCAATTGTAATACCCCTTCAGGCACTGCATGAGGATTGTAGCCTGCAGCTGTGTAGAGCTTGTCAACCAAGTATTGTTCCTGAATTTAAATAATCCGACAGCCACCATGAGTGAGTGACGACAGTGGAGCAAGTGTAAAAGTGAACTACATTTCTCATTCACTTGTTTAAATGTTCTGCTTTTTAAAAGATAGCAAATATAAACTATATCAGCTAGTTTTTACTAACATGTTCTTAATTACCTTACCCCCTTTAAAGTTACTGCTACCCCAGTTTAGGTGCATAGAGAATTCTGTGAGTCTCAGAGGTCCCTTGATTATCTTGTCAGGTTGCCATTTTGAAATTTGGAAACAGGGAGGCTTCTGATAATACTCGCTGATTTTAATATTAAGTAGTGTTTATATATGATCTGATTTGCCAATTTATTCACGTAATTTCCCCTACTATGGCCAAAAACCAGCCACCTGGCCAACCTACTACCTCATATACATGGAGCTCCTGTGTAACCATAGAGAGGATTTAGTAACTGGCCTAAAAGGTTGGCATCTCTTATTTGCTTTATACTGCTTGACATTGTTTCACCCAAGGCAAAGCCATAGGCTAAAAACATTCCTTAAGGAATGAAAAAGATATATCAGGATAAACATCTTTCTTTCGAGTTCATTGCTTCCTGTGTTACATGGTGAGGAAGCGATGTTCCAATGGTGGAGAAGCCCTCCAAGGCTATCCCTAGTGTTTCATAAATGACGTTGGAACACTTCCTAGATGTGGGTTTGAATCCTTAGTCATTTCTTACCATAGGATATGATGGTAAATAAACTTTACCAGTAATATGAAAATTAAATCATTTGTACCTTTAGCCAAAAGACATGTTTGGCCCCATCATTTAAGCCCTCAGTTTAATGTTTTGTTATTATTACATAATTACTAATAATAAACAGTGGTACAGTTTTGTATTTTAGTGATGTGCTCACTTTTTATTTGGTATGAATGACAAGTCCTGTGCATTTTTTGTATAGGGGAAGAAATCCAAATGCTACTGTAATTTATGAAAAATTTATATTATATATTTGAAAATCAATTGAGTATGTGCTTTGGCAGCATATCAGCTAACATTGTCCTTGGGAAACATAAATTAGGGGTGATTATTTCCCTAAAAAAGATTTCTGTTCTTACAAAAATAATTCAATTATATCTGTGCGAGGAGAAACAAAATTATCTAATGCATTAGGGACCTAGTTCAAGGTAAAATAATTTTTCAGCCTTTTATCTTCAATAATTTCTAGTACTACTGGTATTTCTAACGGTAGGTTTCTTTCTTGTGAAACGTGCCTCATATACAAGAGTACGTAAAATATACACAGACAGTTGAAAACATTTCCCCCCAAACACTCCTTTAAAAAAGGGTGGGGAGATGGTAGGCTAGGAATTCTTTCTTCCTCTTGCATTGCAAGAGTAACTACTATTTGGTGGTAACCACTCTCAGATTTTCCTTCTCCTGTTTCTACCTTTGAATGTATTGCTAGGCTTGAAATCAATTGGCTTTTAATGCTGAACTCTATATAAATAGAGTAGTACCATATACTGTGTTTGTAAATTTTTTTTTTTTTTTTTTGGTGCACGGCATCAAACACACAGTCTTACACAGGTTGAGCACATGCTATGCTGCCCCTGAGCTATACCCCCAGCCTGAGACTTAATTCTTCTGCTTAAAGCTAGGTTCATAAATGCTGTTTGTTGCTCATTTTTACTACTGCATAGTATGTTGCCTTTGGGATATGCCTTAATTTATGTTTATACTATATATGTTTATATATCAGGATAAGCATCTTTCTTTCGAGGTCATTGCTTCCTGTGTTACATGGTGAGGAAGCGATGTTCCAACTGTGGAGAAGCCCTCCAAGGCTATCCCTAAGCAGAGTATGGAAGTCCCCAATAACCCATGTCTTCTCAACCATTTGATAAAGTCAGACATGCCATACTTGTCAATCTGTTCGGCATCGAGCAGTTTCTTAGATTAGCTTTTATGTGTCTTTCCATGATTACTAATGAGGATGGCTATCTTTTTCTATTTTTTTTCTTCTCTAAAAGTGCTTGTCTTATTTGAAGTACCCTCAAAACCTGTTGTTATAAATATTTCAAATATCAGAAAAGGAAGTAAAACTGTAACAGTCAATTTAATTTCTGTCGCAAGATCCAACAGTTCATATTTTGCTCTGTTTGCTGCCGCATGTGTGCATGTATCCATATGTGTGCATTTGTTATTCTTCATTCCTTTATTTTGTGAACTGTTTGAAAAAAGTTACACAGGTCATGCCTCTCCACCCATAGGAATTCTCTATGTATTGTGCATATGAATCTTTCATGGTTATGCGTTGCAGAGAGCTTTAATTTGTGGTCAGGCCTTACATTTTCTTTACAGTATCTGTTGGTAGACAAAAGTTCCTAACTTTAATGTAGCTAAATTTTGTCCATCTATCCCTTTGTGGTTTGTGCTATTTGTGTCTTAAGAAATGCTTCCCTACCCTAACATCCTTAAGATAGTCTGTTAAATTGTCTCTTATATATTTTATGAATTTTTTTCTTTCCCCAGTTAGAGCTTTAATCTGCTTGTTATTTTTTTCTGTGTGGAGCCCCAGGTTCATTTTTAACAATAAACACGGATGATCAGTTACCTCCACATGGTTTAGTCACTTTTGGCTTCTGCCCACTGCTTGCAGAGTCCCCTCTGTCCTATCAATGCTAATGTCTCTTCCTGGGCTCTATTTAGCTCTTTTGGTCTGTTTGTCTTTCTCTGTGCCGCACTATCTGAATTAATAGCCTTGAGTTCTAGTGATTTTTCTAATAATGGGAAGTTTTACCTTATCAAGATAATCTTTTAAAAGTTTCTTAGCTGTTTTTACTCCTTTTCACTTGCGTACACATTTTTAGGATCAATACTTTGAGCTTGCCTATTAGGGCATTGATTGAGAAATGGAAGGCACACATGATGAAAAGACTAGCTGAGAGTGACAGGTTTAGTTTTAGAAAATGAACCAATTGAAGTTCCTTTGCTCTCTTGATCACATCCAGCCAATGTATTTAATTTATTGCTGAAGTTTCTCTGGTAGAGGTCCAATTCTTAATAGCTCATACTTATGGAAGCATTCATATTTTATACACTGTCTGGGTATAGGACAGGCAAAGGAAATTAAGACTGCCTTGTCTTCATTTATTTGGAAAGAGAAATGTCTTTTATTAAACCCCTAGTTCTTATGCTGAGTTTTAATTTACCTTGTAACTTCATTTGCTTTGTGTTTTTCCTTGGGTCATTACTAAGACATCCAAGGCAGTAAACTTTCTACTCAGTTTACTGTTAGTGATAGGTGATTAGTTTTGACATGCAGTGCTCCTATTATTGTTACTCTATATAGTCCTTTGTTCTAGTTTTAAATGTTTTCTTTATCTAGAGTTGTTTATGTGATAGTTCAAATGTTTTCTGGTAAGTAGGAATGATTGCCATTCCCCCTTTGTTGAAATAACAAAGTTGCATTACTTGATGTTTTAAAACGTGGGCTGTTCTATTTTTCTCTCTTTGTAAAAAATTGTGGTTTGATATAGATATAGACAGAACCCAACATTGGCCATTTCAACCAGTAAGTGTATATAGTTCTGTGGCATTAGTGCAGTCACATTGTCGTGCTGTTTCTTATTTTTTCACCTATTAAGGGAGATGCTGCTTCCCTTATTTCCTTTTTCTTTTTTCTACCATTCAAAACTAAATGTACTCATCATGAAGAAATGATACAAGTTTAAGGTGACAGAGTGGCTAATTACACTGATTTGATCATTATCCACTGTATACAATGAATTAAAACATAATACTATATTTCACAGAAATGTAAAAATATTATGTGGCAGTCAAAAAAATAAAATTAAGGACTGTAGCTCATTGTTGGAGTACTATACTGATATGTGTGAGGCTATGGGATTGAGCCACAATAGTTTAAAAAATTAATTAAAAAAGAAGGAATATACCTTGTTGACCATGGGCCATTGAACTGATTATAACCCTCTTTCCTTCTCCCCATAATTTCTGTGTTGAGAAGAAAGCAATGTGTAAAATTTTATTTTTTATTGACGTTAGAAAATGCTAGTGTGGTGAACACATATAAGATTGCTGTTGTATCGATGGATTGTATTGTGTTAAAGTATGAAATACTGTTGAAATAAGAATCATTAGCTAGTGTGTGTTAGGACTTAGAAACTAGCCAGAGAATGACAGGCTGATATGCTAATAAGCCAAACCTAAGGTGGTGGCCGATATGCTAATAAGCCAAACCTAAGGTGACAGTGATAGGCAAACAAGCTAAACCTAAGATGGCAGTGCTGAGAACAGGGGTGGTGAGGTCACCACCAGGTATATAAACTCAGACTGGAACCCAAAAACCTTGCTTGCCTCCCTGCCCCACGCCCCCCCAGACCGCCATCAGAATCTGTCCCGAGACTTGGATGTAGAGGCAGCTGCCACTTGTGAGCTTGCCCCCTTTTCCCGATGACCACTGGGTGTCTCCAGTGAACCATGAACTGGACCTGCGCTGAAGGTGGCTGTGAGGATCCCCTGGGGTGCAGCTACACCCCCCTCATTGGCTGAGAAAGTGTTGCATGGTGATCGAGACTTGGGGGAAGGTCTGAGTAAACTGGCTGGCTAGGGTAGCAGAGACAGGCCTTAGGATCCATAAGAAAGTGCCATGTGAATATATTTGAATAAAAACCTGCTCTCTGAAATAAGAGTCTCCTGAGTACTGTCTCTCTGTACTCGAATGAGTCATAAGCACTCACGACAATTGGCGTAGTCAGCAAGATTTCATGAAGGGGATTATGATCATGGCCTTTTGGCTTTTTATAAGCCTAGAAAGGGTGATCTGGACACAAATCTTGGTCCAGGAACTGATTGAGGCATTGGAGGCACTTGACCAAATGAACAAG